AAGAAGAAGAAGACAGAGCTCTACCATTCCAAGATGGAGGTCTTTTGAGTTGCTTCTGCTGACCCCACATTTTTATTTCTTCTGGCAATTTCACTTCATTTGGAGAATATTTATTAGCCCCATTAATAGATTCTGAATACCTTGTTGCATTTTTCCATCAATTCAATCTATTTTGTTCTTTTTCTTCTCCCACTCAAGCCAATGTTTTTCTCTTGCTGGCTCTTTTCAATGTACATGCATGTTATAGCTTCTTTCTCATTAATATAATTTCATGTATTTCTGTGGGATCTCACAAAAGAGAGGAGGCATATATTCACTTGGATTCTGAAAAAAAAAAGGATCAAAGAAAACGAGTGCATGATTATAAAAATGGACTTCCTAAAGAATGTTTGTGATCAAAGTATTACTTGTGTCTTAAATCAGTAGACCAAGAGATAATTTAGTGAGGATAAGGATCATTAATTTGTGGAAGATTGCTATATGGAATTGCTTGTCATTTGTTACAATTAATTAAGTATAATAAGCTGAAGCCATTAATACAGAAGCCAAACCCTTAAATGGATATGTGCTTATATACACACATATACCACACAGATATATGCAAACACATAAATATTTGAAGAGTACATATAACATGTTTAGTAGGATTCTAGATGTTTTTTAATCTCTTATCTGCATCTTCTAATTGTCTGTCATAAAATTGTACTACTTATGCAGCAAGAAAACTAAGGTGATTTTCTTCAGAAGTTTTCTAAAAATGTGTTGCTTTTTTTTTTTTTTTTTGCTATGATCTTCTCAACTCAGCATTTATACAATTTATCCTTCCTTTTGGTGGTGGTGCTGGGGATGGAGACCAAGGTCTTTGTCCACACGCACGCACGCACACACTGGGCAAGTTCCACCAAGCTGCCATGCTAGCACCTTGGCTTGTGTCTTGTTCCTTGTCACAAATAATTAAAATACCTCAAGGACATTCTTGCCTGAGAATGTTTTGTGTCCCTTCATGGCTTGTGGATTTTTGTCTGGGTATAGAATTGAAGTCTAGAAATCATCTCCCCTCAGAATTTCCCTCATTTTCTGCTCACATCTGTGTTTCTCACGAGTATTGGTATAATTCTGGCTCATTTGAGGTTAATTTGTTTTGTTTTGCTTTTTTCTAACTTTGAAAGATTGGGGACTTTTCTCTCTCCTTCTACAACTGTTCAGTTTTGTTATGGTGTCTCTAAAAGCAGACTGAGCAGCCCGTAGCCTACTCTTCACCATACTCAGTGAGCCTTTAGGATTGAAGGCTAAGATCTTTGTTGTACTCTGGGAATGATTTTTTTTCTATTATTTATTTAACTATTATGTTCAAATCAAACTGACTCTTAGTTTCAAAAGTACCTTACCAATCACTCTCCTGGACTTCAGCTTGGACCGCTCACAGAGTAAATTATTTTTTAGGAATCATATTCTTTTTCATTTAAAACTATTTTTGTGGCCCTTGGTATAAAACTGAAGGCCTCAGTCTTGTTAGGCAAGTATTTGCCACTGAACTATCTATCAATCTCTCCAGTAAATATATTCTTAATTTTATACCAATCTATTCTTATTTTATAGCTACAAAAATCTACGTTATTCTGTTAGCTATTTTTATAGCTATATTGTTTCCCTTGGAGTCATTTATTCTGCGTATTAATCTTTAACTTTCTCTTTGGTGTGATTTATTTCTCTGTTTTCTTTTTGCATTACCACAGTAAATCATGATTTATTCAGTTTTACTGTATGGAATACCATTCCAAAAGCAATTCAAACACATCTAATCCAACTAAAAGAAAATCCTGACATTTGTTTGGTTAAATGTCACTCTAACTGCAGGCAGAGATACTCATGGGACTTGCTTATTTGAAATCTGGTGATCCTTGGTCGCTGTTTCTTAACAGAAGTGTGAGGAATGTAGAGTGTGAGCCCGGGTCCCCAACAGGCCTCTTTCTTAAAAGAGCTGGCCACCGTCTCTGTCTAAATGGAGAAGATACACTGATAGGTGAGTTTCCTGCAGAGTGCGTGGACATACGGACCAGTCTGGGTGGTACTAGTTCATAGTAACAGCCCCAACTCACAAGGTCAGGAACTGGAAGTGAAGCTATTCCAGTTTGTCTCTGTTCATCCCCCTAGCATCAACATGTACTCTCGGGTCTCCTTTCTGGAGTCTCACCAAAAACAGCACTAAAAACTCCAGCCAGGGGACAAA